AGAAAAAACCAGAATTAAGTACACAAGATCCAGCTGATTTTTAACATGAGCCCCTAGTGTTCTCAGATGGTGCTCAGAAGTAGCCCTGACATAGGAATGGGTAAGAATGTTTTGTCTATCAATCCCCTTAACAACAAAACCACACATCTGGGCTGGAGAGATGACTCAGCAGTTAAAAGCCCAGCTGCTACTGCAGAGGACCCGGGCTGGATTCCCATCATGAACATGGCCACTCACAATCTTCTGAGACTCCAGTCCCAAGAGATCTGACACCCATGCCTGGCTCCTGTGGGTACTACATGCCTGTAGTGTACATACATACATGCAGGGGTGTAGGGAGAGACCCTGGATACCTGTACCGATGACCACACTGGTACGTAGAGGGGTAGGATAAAGAGTAAGAGAGGCACTCACTCTCTTTCAGGGTCAAGCCAGATCTTGGAGTGCATCTGGGACTGGGCTGCTCTGAGTGCTAATCTGTTTATCGGCTACACGTGTGAGTTATTTTCATCGTTATCATTTATAATATACCATCAATAACCATATCTTGTTACGGTTGTGCTCCATATCACAGGGGAAACATGCATAAAATAAAAACTTCATATTTTTTAAAAGAAAAGAAAAACATTATCAAGCTCATTTTTACCTTTTACTCTCCTGGAAATCACAGTCACCCAGTCAGGTCCACTGGAGTTGATCGGCATTTTGATATTGACACCACTTTAGAAGGAATTTAAAAAAAAAAAAAAAAAAAAAAAAGCACAAGCTTAGATTAAGATTCAGGGACATTTGTTTGAAGTTGTGTATCTTTATCTGTAAGTGGGAAAAATGCATATGCTTTCACGGAGTCTTATAGTGAAGCAGAAAAATTAACCAACACAGTTAATGGTTAATAAACTAGGGCTCCTGAGAGAAGGTAATACACCCTAAAGATAAATTTACTAGATCCTCAGTATGTTTTCACTGTTCTCTCTCTCTCTCTCTCTCTCTCTCTCTTACACACACACACACACACACACACTCACACACACACACACACACACACACAGAGAGAGAGAGAGAGCGAGAGAGAGAGAGAGAGAGAGAGAGAGAGAGAGAGAGAGACTATACATACTGCTTAGCCAGTCTTAGGAAAGCAAATGTGGCTAACTCAAGGTTGAATATTCCTTTTGGAATCAGAGAATTCTACTTTGTTACTACATGGTTCTGATGCTACAAGTCTATGCTGAACTAAGTCTCGTGCTAGATTTCTTAGGCATGCCCAGGTCTGAGAGGCCATCCCCGTGAAGATAGCCTGCCTCCAAACAGGACTCAAATAGTACTTTGTTCACCAGTTCAAACTACGAGGTGTCTGCTCCCCTTTCTACAACACATATTCCTCAAGGATATGGCTGGGGCTTCCCTCGCCTTTGTATCTTTAGCACTTAGCACAGGCCATGGACCAGATCTATTCTCAGTAAATTCTTTTGAAAAACTGAAGGAGAATGAAAGCCAGCGGCAAGGGATGGGAATCAAGTACAGATATTCCAGAGTAGAGTCCCTGTCAGGACTCTTATACTCATATAAAAACAAGCTTTAAAGGCGTAGGCTGCTTGGCTTCCCGTTGGGATATTTCAACTGCTCATCAATTTCAGAACAATGTGTTCATACTACAGATGATTAGGAAGCTTCACTTGTATTCTGGGCACTACTCTAGCACTGGCTTATGTAGCAAAACTCCCAGAATCTCCTCCCTAATTGGAACCAATATTCTACAGAAAAACAAGTGATGAAGGACCTATACAGGGCTGGCTGCACTGGAGAGTAACAGAATTCCATATCTTACATAGCGACATTTGAGGATTTCCAAGAGGGCACATATAAACCACTCTCAAGAGCTTAGAGTTTATTATCCAAAAATACATAATAACTTTCACATGCTGCTTGAAGGACAGTTTTCTCCGTAATTTTCCTGCAAAAATAATTTAACCTCAATTTAGTCATGAAAACAACAAAGCAAATCTAATGTAAAAGACAGTTAACAAAAACATCAATATTGAAGTTGTCCATATCTTAAAAAGCAAAAGTGATGAAAGAACTTTCCTAGATTTAAAAGATACCAAAGTATAGAATGTGATTGTAGATTAAATTAACAAAGGACATTACTGGGGACACTCAACCATGACCTAGATACACGGATCAACAGTGCTGTATCAATGACAAATGTCCCAACTATGATAACTGTGCTATGATTACATACTGGACAAAGTCCATGCTCTTAGGAGATATAGGCTACTGGGGTCAGTGCTGTGATGACTATAGCTTACTCTTAAATGGTCCAAGTGGGAAATATACACAAACATACATATAAGGCAAACGTTGAGAAAAAGAAAGACAATATGGAACAACCAAGAATCTAAAAGAAGGTGGGTGGGTGGTGATAACATCAAAGTATTCCCCCAAATTTAATGTAGCTGCGGAGTTAGTGTTTGCTTACTTATTGTTGGTTTGGTTTGGTTTGGTTGGTTGGGTTTATGTGTCCATTTGTGAATACAGGTATACATGGTGTGAGTACATGGATGGTAGGAAGGCCAGAGAACAACCTCAGACAGGGTTTCTCATTGCTTTGGGGCTCACCAAGTAGTCCAGGCTGGCCGGCTTGTGAGCCCCAGGAGTCTGCTTGTCTTTGCCACCTCTGTGCTGGGATCACACACACACACCACCACCACACCCAGACATGAAGTGTGTTCTAGAGACCTAACCCAAATCCTCATGTCTATAAGCAATTGGTTTTCAGATTGAGCTATTGGTCCTGCCCTTTTCCTATTGTGTTCTATTCTGTTTGAGCCCAGGCTACCCTTGAACTCCCAACCCTCTTGCCCTAGCCTCCTGAGTTTCAGTTAGAGGTATGAACCACCATGCCAAAAAAAAAAAAAAAAAAAGTACAAGTCATGTTAAAATAAAAGGGGAACTGCTCCGTGATAGCATCATTTTGAAATGTCTGCCCTTAGAATCTTTGAGAATTGTTCCCAAAAGAAACATTTTCTCTCTCCTAAGGGTAAAAGGCAAAGATCCTTCATTGTCCACCTATGGTTTGAAGAACCAGACGCCAAAGCTAGGCATGTGCAGTCACTCTGTCTATAATCCCAACACTTGAGAAAATGAGGAGGATCACCACAAATTTGAAGCCAGCCTGGGATACACAATGAATTCCAGACCAGCCTGAGCTACTGTGAGATCCTATCTCAAACATACAAAATGACAGCAAAGCTTCTTAAATTTTTCTAACATACACAAGGCTATGCACCAAGAACAAAGGTAAAGATGAGGACAAACTCAGTGCATTTGAGGGAGTTCAAAACAGTTTGTCCAGAGGTCAATTGTTTAAGATCAGTTATCTTTTCCTTTTGAGATAGCCTGGTGCTACCTAGAACTTCAGCAGTGTGAAGGATAACAAAATGAAAATTAATTATTAGGTTTCCATCAAATGTAAGCGACCTCAAACACTTTCCCTAACAAACGTCCCAGCCAGAGAGAGCTCTACGATGATTCTACTACAACCTACAATATGCCATTAGCCAGCCGCTCCCAGGATTTGCAAGTCATGGCAGGCATAAGGCATCATTTTCTCTTTCTGTAGTAACAGGGTTTTGTGTGTGCTTTGTCTCTAATGGTGGGATTTAGTGCTAGCAACATCTTTATATGCTTTGCTATTCAAGTCCCTATTTCTTTATCCCACTATTTTCCACATGGAACTTGGTTAAATTATAGACCTTCTTCTTCTTCTTCTTCTTCTTCTTCTTCTTCTTCTTCTTCTTCTTCTTCTTCTTCTTCTTCTTCTTCTTCTTCTTCTTCTTCTTCTTCTTCTTCTTCATGGGGGAGCCACTAGACAGACTGACAACCCAATTCCAGAATGGAGCAACTGGATATTCTTCACATATAGGCAAAAAGGAAAATGCATAGAAATGAAATAATCTGCTCACACTCATTGAAAAATAGTAAATCTTGGGTCTGGGCGCAAGATTAAAATATGTAAATACAGTACACATATGAATTTTTTAATAAATTTAATTTCAAAATTAAAAGAAATAAAACTTGAAACTTGGCATGGTATCACACACCTGTAATTTTCATCATTTATGAGGCTGCGTCCAGAAGGTAAGTTTTCTCGCCAGTGAGATTCGGTCTTAAAAATGTATAAGTATACAGGTGGTGGTGGCACGTGCCTTTAATCTCAGCACTTGGGAGGCAGAGGCAGGCAGATCTCTGTGAGTTCAATGCTATCCTGGTCTACAGAGTGAGTTTGAGAACAGCCAGGGCTACACAGAGAAACCCTGTCTCAAAAAACCAAATAAATAAATATAAGCAAACTTTTAGATTTATTTGTAGGGTTTTTTGGGTTTTTTGGGTTTTTTTGTTTGTTTGTTTTTTTTGTTTTTTTTGGTCTTTGGCTTTTTGTTTTGTTTTGTTTTTTATTCAACCACACAAAATACTTGTCTTCTAGAGCACTGTGCAGTAAATGCATGGGGTCAGGCTCCCTCTGCTGGCCATGTAAATGAATGCATGACAGGAGTTCACAGAGATAATGACAGGACCACCAGCTGACTTCTGCAAAGCGGAAAAGCAGTTTTATTTAAGAAGCTTCTCTAACAACACGCTTCACAAAAACATTTCTTCAACCAATATGAGTGACTGTAAAACATTAAATACTAAAATTTCAGGATGTCTAACTTTACTCAACCAAAATAGTTCTCTACCAACGTCTTACAAGTAAGCATTTCTTAGGGGAAGAAGAGCCAGAAGGAGGTGGGAAGGCAGAAAGAATATCACCAAAATATGTTGTATGAAAAGAAATTTCAATCTAAGAAAGAAACTCTTATAAGGGCTGAAGAGATGGCTCCATGGTTAAGAGCACTTGTCAATCTTACAGAAGACCTGGGTTTGACTCCCAGCACCCACACTGTCTGTGGTTCACAACCATCTGTGACCACAGGGGAGCCAATGCCTTCTTCTGAGCTCCACAGACACCAAGCATGCACATGGTGTACATACATAAATACATGCAGGCAAAACACTCATACACACAAAAAAATAAGTCTTTTAAACTTCTTAAAATATAGGTTTATACATTCTTCTAAATGATTGTGCTTTGGGGCCAGGTATTTTTATAACTTCATTTCTTCTTTGTTTTTGTTTTTTGTTGTTTTTTTGTCACTTAGTAATTATAAACTCTTACAACATGGCTTTTGAAGGTGGGGTTTAAATCAGTCCACCAGACCCAAGATAAATAATAAATTGGTATTTATTAGGGAAGCACTTACACAAATAATAGTAAATAACTGCCACAGTCTTCCTGCTCTAGAAGATGAAGTCTCTGACCTTCCAATGCTCTCACTGCAACCCAAGAGAGCAAGCCAGCACCTCCTCTGGGGTCAGGGCTACCTACACACCTGAAACCACACCCATAGAGTGTGGCCACTGGCAAAGCAAGATGCCACTACAGACTTTAATGCATGCTTATATATAATAATTAGAAAAGGGAAAATGACATCATCATCGCAAATATTAACCACTTGTTTATGCTGGAAACATTAAACGCCATTCAGTTATTTTTTTAAGTATTTAGTTAGCTATTGTCGGCCATAGTTTTCCTACATAACTTTCCCCAGTACTGTTATTTCACTTCAGAATTACATGCAATGTTGAAGAAAACACAGATTTTCATTCAGACTGATTCTATATTTTTCACCCTGCCCATTACCACCCATACTGACTGTGCTGAAAAACGATTCTGTTTCATGTTCAAAGTAGATATTTCAGCACAATACCATAATACTTTCCACAGCTGTTAACATGCAGAGTTTGCTCTGGAACGCCTTGATTCTATTCTAAGTTACCTCAGTAATACTGCCATGTCCATAGTCTTTTACTATAGATAAACATTTCTAATACTTAAAAGCTGATTTTTCTGTTTCTTCAAAATTTTAGCTCCACCCGACCCTCAAGCACCAGTGACTAGCCCTCAATACCTTTGTTCTGGGGTAGGGGGGGCAGGGAGTTGAGTACACAGTGCCATAGGGTGGAGTGGGTGCAGAGAGCTACTCTTTCAGAGTTGGTTCTTGCCTCCCGCTTTGTTGAGGTAGGGCCTCTCTTGTTTCTGCCGTGTCACATACTCCAGGCCAGTTGGTTTGCAAGCTTCTGGACAATTCTCCTATTTCTGCCTCCCACCTTGCCACAGGAGTGCTGGGATTACAGATATGTGCTATGGAGGGCTTTTTATGTGGATTCAAAGAACGGACGGAACTCATGTGTCAAGTTTTCACAACAAGCATGTGCTGAGCCATCTCCCGATATTCTTGGATTTAAAAAAAAAAAAAACAAAACTGTTCTGTGAATAAGTGGTCTTGCCAATATAGCAATAAACATGGCATGTATCTCTCTAACATAAAACACAGCAGAATAAGAAAATTGAAGGGTAAAGGGTCTTTCATTTGAAGTTGAACAAGCCCTAAACCTCACTTTTAAAACACTGATCTCTGTGAGTTCGAGCCCAGCCTGGTCTGCAAGAGCTAGTTCCAGGACAGTCTCCAAAGCCACAGAGAAACCCTGCCTCAAAAAAGAAAAAAAAGAAAAAAAAAAAAAAAACACTGAACAAAAGTGCAGATTTCTATTTCTTATGCAACACCTCTTCTGAACAGGGCCAGGTTCGGACAGATAGGAAACGCATACTTACAAGAGTCTCCCAAATGTGGCAAAGACAATGGGGCAGAACACACACACACACACACACACACACACACACACACACACACACACACACGGCAGACCTCTTCGGACAGATAGGAAACGCATACTTACAAGAGTCTCCCAAATGTGGCAAAGACAATGGGGCAGAACACACACACACACACACACACACACACACACACACACACACACACACACGGCAGACCTCTTTACCCCCTCACACACACTCCCACCACCACCCAAGAATCGGGACCGCATACCTCTGAAAGAAAGCACTGTCGGCAGCAGTGAGAAGACCCTTCGTGTAGCCGCCCTTGAAGTGGTTGATTCTGCTGCTGCAGGGCAGCTTCTTTGGTTTGAAGCAGAACCAGGGCTCCCCGGTGTAGAGGTCTGTAAAGTTGCACAGGGGAAGACTTCCCGGGAGACACACGTTGCACTTCATTGTTTCCGAAATCCTTCCGGAGCGGAAGAGACTCTTGAAATAGACCCTGTCTGGTTTGGCTTCCTGCAGGTACTGAAGAACTCTAATCCCTTCGCTGGGGTGAACCAGAGATATGGACACTCTAACTCTGCCAGGCCAGAGCAGGGTAAAAAACACTTTGTAAAAGCCATTCTGGTAGTCTACCACTCTGCCCACAGCCCCCGCCTGCAGTTTTGGCGAGTGAATTCGGGCCTGCAGGTAGTCTCCGCCATACTTCTTGGGCTTGCCTTGGAAATCGTGCACGTGAACCAACACCTCCAGCTGGCTCCCCACCTTGAAGAGGGCTGCAGAATTCAAGATGACAAAGTAGCTGGAGGCAGGGTCGGTGCTCTTCACAAAAGGGACCAGGTCCGCATCGGGCACCTGCCACTTTGAGGCGGCAAGCAATGCATCCTCTTCTAAGCGCTCCTGACTGGACAGGGTCTGGTGTTCATAACCACAGTACGGATTCCGGATGAGGCCTGTGGCCTGCGAGGAAACAAACTGTCCACTGCTGTCGATGAATGTCCCTGAGAGAGTCTCATGGTCCAAGTACTAAAGAGAAATGACAGAAACCACGCTTCTCTGAATGTTAAGCAAACAAATCTCTACTTCGCTTTACATTTGTATAAAATGTAACTGTTTCAAAAACCACAGCCAGCAAGTTTCACAGTTGTTGTAACAGAGTAAGATTAATGGAAAATTCATAGAGAGGTCTCTCATAGAGAAGGCTTCACATATCTTACCTGTAGGAGCTGTATGTGGGTTCTCACTGTGAATTATCAGAGAAAAATTTCCTTGAGCAGCTAGCCATGGAATGGGGAAAGAAACCATCTTGTACAAAATAATATCGATTAGAATTAACCAAGTGTGGTGGCTTAGATGAAAATGGCCTCTATAAGCTCACAGGGAGTGGCACTATTAGGAGGCATGGCCTTGTTGGAGTGGAAGTGGAATTTGAGGTCTCAGATGTTCAAGCCAGGCCCAGTGTCACTCTCTCTTTCTGCTGCCTGAGGATATTGACGTAGAACTCTCAGCTCCTCCAGCACCATTTTGTCTATATACTACTGTGTTTTCTGCCATGATGATAATGGACTAAACCTCTGAACCTGTAAGCAGGCCCCAACTAAATGTTTTCCTTTTAGGAGCAGGAAAGTTGTGTAGGCGGAAGAATAGAGGAGAGCCAGATAAGAGATACCATCAGAGAGGGAGCCATTAAAGGTTTATAGAGAAATCAGGCACTAGAGAAATGTCCAGAGATATACAAGGATGACACCAACTAACCATCTAAGCAACAGTGGGGAGGCTACCTTAAATGCCCTCCCTTGATAATGAGATTGATGACTGACTTATATGCCATCCTAGAGCCTTTATCCAGCAACTGGTGGAAGTAGAAGCAGACACCCATAGCTAAACACTGAACCCAACTGGAATACAGTTGCAGAGAAGAAGGAGTGATGAGCAAAGTGGACAAGACCAGGCTGGTGAAGCCCACAGAAACAGCTTACCTCAGACTGATCACTGGGAAACTAGCATGAAATTGATCCAGACCCCCATGAATGTGGGTGTCAGTGAGGAGGCCTTGGAAATCTATGGGGCCTCTTGTAGTGGATCAGTACTTATCCCTAGCATAGGAATGGACTTTGGGAGTCCATTTCACAGAGGAATACTCCTTCAGCCTCGACACATGGGGGAGGGCCTAGGCCCTAACCCAAATGATATGACAGACTCCGAAGACCCCCCATAGAAGACCTCATTCTCCCTGTGGAGCAGAAAGGGGATGGGATAGGTAGGGTGTTAGTGGGGAGCAGGGGAGAAGGGAAGGGAGAGGGAACTGGGATTGACATGTAAAATAATCTTGTTTCTCATTTAAATAAAACAATGGGGGAGAAAAAAAAAAGAGTTGCAGTGGTCACAGTGTCTTTTCACAGCAATAGAAACCCTAATTAAGACACAAGGTGAGAAACTACTTTTCCAAACCCTAAACCCACCTGGGAAAAGAGACACCTCCAACTCCAGCCTTTACCAAAGGTAGGGACCAACACGCACTAAGGAAGTCCACACAAGGGGGTACATGTTCACCTAAGGGCTCGAGCTAAACATGGAATAGCAGACTACCCCATACATGCTACCATTTTACTATAAGCCCAGAGAGCACCGTTTCTTTCACCAAGCTCATCATGGCTAGAATTCAGCAACAAATTGCAGACAAATTAAATTTTTAAAAATTAAAAGACAAAAACAGAATTTGAAGACAGCATTCGGAAGCAGCCACATCGGGTGCAGTAGGAACGCTAGACCTCTCAGAGCAGGAATTTAAAACAACAGTGAATGCTGCCCAGTGGCGCTGGGCTTGCCTCACACGGACAAGGCCCTCAGCTCTCTGCTTAGCACCACAAAATTCTAAAAAATATATATAAAATAAATGTTGAAATTAAGCAACTTATTCTCAGGCTAATGCCTCTGATGGCCACTCAGGGCTATCACATATGGTGGCTCCTCAGGCTGTGGGAGGCTCCAAGGACCTGCAGCAATGGGTGTGGCAGCACCTCAGCCTCTGGCCATTACTGTCTGGAGCTGCTGTAAAAACAAGATTACAAAAATGACTTGTGCTCCCTCCAGAAGCCCAGACTCTGCTTTTGCACCCAGGCAAGGCTGGGGTTAAGGACTGTAACTCCTAGAAAACAATCACACTGGTGTGATGTAGAAAAAGTTTATGAGAGCTACATATTGTGACAATCCACCATGTTAGCCTGTGGCCACTAAGCTATCAAAAGACATCATCTGGGCCACTGAGATGGCTCAGTGAGTAAAGGTACTTGCCACCAAGCCGGATGAACTGAGTTTGATCCTCAGAACCCACGTTGTGGAGGAAGAGAACCAATTCCTGCAAGTTATGCACAGTGGCCGGGGCACTCACACATACACACAAAATAAAGAAATAAACTTTTTTTTTAAAAATTGTTCAAAGAACACTCTTCCACTGCTGGTGGGAGTGCCAACTCATACAGTCACTTTGGAAATCAGTATGGAGATTCCTCAAGGAAATGGGAATCAGTCAACTACAAGATCCAGCAATTCAACTCTTAGGTATATACCCAAAAGATGCACATTCATACAACAAAGACATCTGTTCAACCATGTTCATAGCAGAATTGTTTGTAATAGCCAGAAACTGGAAGCAACCTAGATGCCACCCAACTGAAGAATGGATAGAGAAAATGTACACAATGTAGTACTACTCAGCAGGGGGAAAAAAAAAACAATGGAATCTTGAAATTTGCAGGCAAATGGATGGAACTAGAAAAAACCATTCTGAGCAAGGTAACCCAATCACAAGAAGACAAACATGGTATGTACTGACTCATATATGGATTTTAGACATAGAGCAAAGGATTACCAGCCTACAATCCACACTGCCAGAGAAGCTAGGAAACAAAGAGGACCCTAAGAGAAACATACTTGGTCCCCTGGAGAAGGGGAAAGAGACATGATCTCCTGAGCAAATTGGGAGCATGGGGGGCGGGGAACTAGGAAAATGAGAAGAGAAGAGGAGGGGAGAAAAGGATATGAGGGAGCAGGAAGGTTGAGTCAGGGGAAGAATAGAGGAGAGTAAGAAAAGAGATACCATAGGAGAGGGAGCCATTATAGGTTTAAAGAGAAATCTGTCACTACAGAAATGTCCAGAGATCTACAAGGATGATACCAACTAACAATCTAAGCAGCAGTGGAGAGTCTACCTTAAATGCCCTCCCCTGATAATGAGATTGATGACTAACTTATATGCCATCCTAGAGCCTTCATCCAGCAGCTGATGGAAGCAGAAGCAGACACCCACAACTAAACACTGAGCCAAACTCCTGGAATCCAGTTGCAGAAAGGGAAGAGGGATGAGCAAAGGGGTTAAGACCAGGCTGGAGAAACCCATAGAAACAGCTGACAAGGGGGAGCTCATGGACTCCAGACTGATTGCTGGGAAACCATGGGACTGATCCAAACCCAGTGAACATGGGTGTCAGTGAGGAGGCCTTGGCAAACTATAGGGCCTCTGGCAGCAGATAAGTATTTATGCCTAGCATACAAATGGACTTTGGGAGCCCATTCCACATACAGGGATACTCTCTCAGCCTACACACACGGGGGAGGGCCTAGGCCCTATCCCAAATGATATGACAGACTCTGAAGATTCCCCCATGGAAGGCCTCACTCTCCCTGGGGAGCAGAAAGAGTATGGGATAAGGTGGGAGGTCAGCGAGGGAGAACAGGGAATGACATGTAAAACAAGCTTGTTTCTAATTTGAATAAAAATGGAAGAGAAAAAATTGTTCAAAGAAGACAACTTGACTAAAAGGTGGTTTATGAAATCATTGCTGAAAAAGAAAGGAGCTAGATGGCAAGCAGGAAGCTAAAGACCATACTGAGAGTGCAATGAGCTCTTTGTCCCCTAACACCAAAAACACAGGTTCAAATGCTGATCATGCAGATCATGCTCTGAGTCACACTGGAAAAGGATAAGCCACTACCACTGGCTTGGGAGCAAAACCCTATCCCAATAGCAGGAGAAGAACAGTGCCCCTTCCCAGGCCTATTTGCATGCTGCACGGCATTTCACAAAATGGCTTTCTATGCTGAAAACATGAGATGTGATACGGCCATCCAGGGGCACCGACACCTGAAACTTGTTCCTATGTGAGATTTTCCTGCTTTCCTTAGACTTCCTCAATATCATTTAAAGAAAATTCGGTAAGTTGATTTTCATGAGCTCCACCCAGCTTTATGGCAGAATACATCAATGCCATTACCTTTGCATGTGCAATCATGGAAGAACATTATTTGTTAATGTTATGGCATCAAGAAAGAAAATAAATGGAACAATAAGGAAGGGGCAAATAAAATGAAGGTAAGAATAAAAATATTTTTTAATAAGGAAGTATTTGTGTGTATAATGACTATAGTGGCTGGATGCTTCCAAAATGGGAAAGAAAGCTGGTAACCTTGTGTAAGTTATGAAGGTCTGAGTAAGTTACATAAGGTAAAAGATATGACGTGGAGACAATATGTATGATATAATCATTGCTAAGATCAAGATTCAATACAGTGATATCAGACCTGTCTTAAATCAGTGCAGTTATTGACCTGATCTGAGTTATCTGTCATAGAAACTTGCTTAAAGAATGCAAATCTGTCTCATCAGGTTCATTTTAAAGTGTTTGGTTTTTTGTCCAGGCTTTTCTAAGTATTATACAGTAGTTAAAATTATCACATAGATGTAACTGACCTTGGAGTGTTCAACAACCATACTTGGAGGCCTGTGCTAATGAACGAGGAATTTAAAGGGACAATATTTTGTCCTCTGCCCTCCAAGGCCAACAAGGTCCCAGGGTACTTAGGGACAGATCTCAAAATATACTGATACTATGCTAAATAACCTGTCCTCTTGTTCGGTGAGGCCTTGGAGACCTCACTAGGTGGAATTTAGTCAGTGTCTAATCTACACAGAGGAGGCTCAACACACACACATATTGCCCTCAGTACTTCCAAGTGAAGCCACCATC